AAAATTTTTTTTTCTCAAAATATCGAAGAATGCTTCAAGTAAAAGTTGTAGGTGATACTACTACCTATGAAAAATTAGAAATCACTCTAATTTTAGTTTTTAATAATAATATTAATCTGTAATAACAAACACAAAAAGCTAGCATCATTTAATTATACAAGTCTATACAAGCTTAGTCAATAGAATGAAGAAATTCATTGAATTAAATTGGAACAAGGTCACAGAAAAATGCATTTATCAGTCGTCGTCGTTTGCACTTCAGTTCTGCTGACACTGGAGAATTCGTTATCAAGGAACTGGTATTATCAGCTGTTACATAACTTTTAATCATTGCCTAGTTAATAATTATTCAACAACGTATTGCCTGTTGGTTATTCCCAGATGTCGCAGAACTTGTCCACCGTTTCTCGCAAGTGCCCAACGGTGTATACCGGTTAGTATATAAAGGAGAATTGTAACATCGTACTCCGGGTGGGGTCCGAGACGCCTGCTTACGTTCGAACTCTCCATACTCAGTAAACGGAGGCGCATATACAACAAACGCTCAGAAGCGCAAATGATATGAATGGAAACCTTCTCTCGTCCTCTCGAGCGTGTTGCGAATCGCGGGTATCTAATGGCAGTGACTATTGGCCCGGATTCTCTCTTTGTTCCACGTTCAGGAAAATTCCTAGCAGAATAATTTCACGGTTGAACTCCTCGACCCACGTTGAGCAGCTTCTGACTGATATTCAAATTCGTTTCGAATTCGCCTCTGGCCATTTACAATTGTGGACGTGACGTTGACCTCATCTTTTTTGGTTTCAGATAATCTCGTTGTTTAAAATTGAATTTTTCTGTACTCTGGCTGGTTGTAAATTCGGGGAATTGAGAGCAGTTTCCAGGCGCCATGGGAGTTCTCGAAACGAATTTTGACGGCACCTCTGATCCAAAGGAAAACTACTTTCTCTCTCAGTTTGATGATCAAAAGGGTTAACGAGTCCTGCGGTGAAAGTGGTGGCGAAATCTTTCGACACGGAGTCAGGTGGCTGGAATCGTAATTCCGTCGAGGGTGCTGGGTTTGACACCATAAGGGCGGCGAGGTGTCACAGAATCCTCGCTGGAACCCAGCCTGGAACTAATCTTCCCTTCCTCCGAAGGGTAGATTCACGGTCACGGTTCGTTGCCAGTCAATAATTCTTGCTGGAAAATTGCTCCTTTGCAATTTTAACTATAATTCAGGTAGACTAGTTTCCGTTATCTCAGAAAACCATGCGTTGTTAAAAAATAACAAGCTGTTTTTCATTATAGTGCGAAAACTTTTGGGCGTCTAGTTCTATCAGAATTACATTATTAAAATACATAACACAGACAATTAATCAAACTGTGATACCACTTAATAATTAAGTTGCGAGCACTCGAAAGAGCCATAATCTTTAATATATTATCAATAGACGCTTAAATGCTAAAAACAAAACAAAAATTGGTTTTCACAACACGTGCAATCGTGTACTGAGACTCTTCTTATCTTTTAGCTAAGTCGATTTTCTGTCAGTGACTTTGTTTACTTGCAACGATAAGAGTGGAGAATGTCTATTCAGCGAGGAAATCAGTGTTTTCTGTCTTGGAATAATTCGGCGTGGAGGGTCACAAGCGGCACGAATCTTACCTGAAATAGCAATTTGGAAACTCGACCAGTCCTGGTCACGCCCAGAGTCACATGGTCGCATTCTCTTTTCGTTTGTTCCTCATGTTCCACAACTGAGAAAACGTTGTTTCCTCCACTCAGTCCTTGGCTAATTTAAAATCAACAGAAACGCACGGTTGAAAACTTTATTAGCATAAAATACCCGTTGATTATATTAAAATTTTATTATCAAATTGTCATTGTTGAAGAATTGTCGTGTATGTTTTTTTGAATTGCTGTTGGCACGTGTTCTGATAATTAATGATCAGTAATTATCGGGCATCTGGGATTCTTATTTAAAGCGGGAAGGTGGACGGCGCCGGGGAAACGAGAGGCATGCGAAACCGCTAACGAGTTCCATTGTGAGGCACGTGCCGCTGTCCGCCCACGCGTTGTGTTTCTCTTTTTCGATCTTGCCAATCCATAGAAAGGGTTACCAATCACTGTCACTTCATCCTTTCCATTTTAACCGTCGTTCGACTTAAAACTCATGCTGGAATAATTAGATTTCATGCTAGGATATTTAGACTTGGTTCTTACAGTCTTGGGTGAATAAAAAGCGTCTTCATTTCTCGAGTTACACTTTATTTACAGTATTTTACATTCAATCTTGACAAAACAGGCTTACGAGATAGCGTCGTCGAATCTTCATTTATTCTTTGGCTTCTCATACAAATTATTTACTAATGGACGGTTAACAGGGTCATTAAGCTTAATTGCTAATTAAATTCCTGACTAGCTACACGAATACATAAAGACACAATAACTAATACATACAAACGTTCTTAAATTAATTCATTCTTAAATCTAATCTAAATTTTATAATAATGGCACCGAATTTCTGTCCTCTTCTACATGCTAAATTATAATAATTTATTATAAGATATAATAATAATAATACAAATATAATCACGCTGTGTGCCTTAAGAACAATTCTGGCTTTTTATTCTTTAGTCTATTCATTCCTCTTTGGACTGTTAGCCGTCTCTTACAACTAAAGTGTGCAAATTCTAATAACATAGACACTCAAAATTATATACAATTGTAAGAAATGCATTGCAAAAACCTGCTGCAAACTTTTATAATCCAAGCGTTTGGTGAAAAGAGAAAAACTGTGCAGATATAATTCTAATTAAAAAATCCTCTATTGCCACTTGCCGTCGTGTCTCTGGAGGAGGTCGCACAACGCCGCGATGTAAGTCTGTGCCATTTGCAGCGTCTCGAATTTGCTGAGCTTGTGATCAGCACCAAGACTCGGTACAACTTCGCGTAATTTATCAAACGCGTCGTTCAGCCCGTTCATACGACGTCTCTCGCGCGCGTTCGCGGCCAACCGTCGACGCTTCAAGACGCTTGGCGACGGCGGTATGTCTCTGGAGCGTCGCCTGCCCTTCCTAGGACTGTTCGTCGGCGATATCTGTTTCTGAACAAAATTCATTACACCTCAAAGGTAAGTAAATCTGCCCTTTAATGTTAGTTAGATGTTAGTTTCTTACCTGTGCTGATGTTACAGGTTCCCAGCGGTCTCTCCTCTGGTCCTGGAGCGCGTGCACCGGCTTTTGGGCGTGATCGTCTACGATCTGGTACTTCTGGTCCTGCGGCGGAGTCTCGTAGCAATACCCTGCTGGGCAATAGTCGACGGAGTTGTCCTCGTGCAACGCATCAGCCGACGTGGCATGAGTCACCTTGTGGCCCTCGTACCTGTTGAAACTGTCATCGGTCCCAAATGACATGATCATCTTGTACATATTCGCGACGTACATAGCGGTGATCGCCATCTCGGTTGTCTACCTCATTATACAAGTTCTAAAACTGTACTGACACGAGGTCAACCGGGTCAACCTCCCGATTTCCGTTCACAGTCCTATACAATTTGAAACAACGGTAGAATTTGTGAACAGGAATTGGGACGTTTCTCTCTCGGCATGTAATTTGTAATAAACTATCATTTGCCTTGCAAATTCAGAGTTTGCACGGTGATTTTGCAATGTGAAAACGTGAGAGTGCGAAGAGGAGACTCTTCTTACCTGTGGGGAGTCACAGGTGTGAGCACGCTGAAACTCCTCTCGTAGATCTCTTCTTTGCCATAATTAATCACGTCTTTTCGCGGAGTTATTTCATTTTTATGCACGTAATTGTCACTGTAAGGCACTTTGACCGGTTCGTAATTTGGAGAACTGTAGGGGGAGGGATAGAGATTGTCGTGAGGTCTCGCGGGGTAGGTGGTTGTTATCATGTCATTGGATATTGGGTATTCGTGGTGGTTTGATAGGAGAGCCATTTCCTTGTGTCCTTGTTTAACTTTTGTAAATTTAAACAGAATCACAAATGTTTATCCATATTGAATTCTATCACAGTAACCGTTCGCACTTATTCCAAGTTTGGAGACTTTAATCCTCTTCATTCTTCAGTGGGTGTCAGACGAGATGTTCAAGGATTGAAGTCAGAATTGAGAAGATCAGACGGTTTGGAAAATAGAGGAGGAGGTCCTCGCGACGTAAAGGCTGAAGTTTGAGTGTGGCGCGTGCCGCGTCCTTCACTGCATCAACATATGGTTCCCACTTGGTTTCATGTCGATTCTATAGGTGCACCTGGTGGCCCATTCTGGGCTCCTGCATCTACCCTCTCCTCGTCGTCTTCGCCGTCGCCACCACCTCTTTTTATTTTTCCCTTTCCTGTTCCTTTTATCGCCGGCCGATCCCTCGCACAGAAGCTGAAGAGTACCTGTTGATTTAGATAAGAACCGACGTTGTTCATTTCAATTCCTACAATGAGGGTCAATACAAGGCGGTAAATCGTTTATTTTCTTCAGAAATTCCAAGTACAGAGTTGCTAGAAATTAATAGTACAATTCGATTATGGCTGAGTCAGTCCAGTGGATGATTTCAATGCATGGTAATAAGGAAAAATTCTTTATTTTCTATTGGAAATCAGGAAGGATTTATTATTATTAAAAGAAAATTGTATAATAATCGTTTATTTGTTTCAGGAATTGCAAATACAAAATGATTGCTTATTAGAAAAAATTGTAGGAAAAGTTGCACGGTGATAATTTCCGATTTTCTGGGCTTTGTCTCGGCTCCCCCCGACAGATGCTTTCATAATAGAGGCTGTGGATAATAAGTAATACTGTTAATAAAAAGTGCATCAAGGAAGACAAAAGCGGAGCATATGCAGCGTTACGATTATTAACATTCTTCATGATCCTAGAAATTGGAAAGGTTTAGTTGTTTATTATGTGTAAATTAAATTAGAGTAGGGAAACGATTATCGGAATGCAACGGTCGTTGGCCGAGGGCTTTGGGACGATTAAAGATACGAGGCGGTAGGGACTGAAGGCGCGTGGCCTACGTCAACCGGATCGGAAGTTGCAAGGTGTTATCCCTAGATTTCAGGATAAAGAGTACCGACAGAACGGGGAATGAACCTTCCCAGGATTCGAGTCCATTAACCTGGCAAGGACGTAATTCTGAAAAAAGAAAACAGGCTCTCCTGTTTTATATTATCAGTGAAACGTTCAATCGTCTCTGTTAATTAAATATGTATTTGTCAATGACTCGCAGATGTGAATTTATGGATTCGTTTCACTGTAGGAGCATCGAAAGTAGTTAACAAGCTTTTATCGACGTTCGAATGACTTGTTCATAGATACGAGAATCAATTAAACCCAGGTGGGAGGTGGGGCACGTGCCCCAGGTCTGATAGATCGGTCTTGCTTGTTCCGTTCAAAGGAGGACAGCCCTCGGGAACCATATGGCGTGTCGACGTATGGCGTTTTTTCGGAAATACAAGATTCACAATTCTTAGGGATTGTAATAACAAATATTTATTTCAACTGTATAGAATCTTCCATAAAAATATCAACGTTTTTAATCAATCATTGCATCGACATTAGGACCATCGTGTAAGAGAACGACGTTCGTGCAACCTTAAAGAGATACAAGAAAGTAATTATAAAATTTTGTATTAAATTAGTAGAAATTGTTAACAGGCTTTAGGATGTTTGTTAGGATTTTGGGTTTACCGTGCTGAAACTCTCCAGGTTCATTGTGTACATCGTGTATGCAGTTAACTTGAGAGGCGTCATGCTCCTCAGCATCATTATTAATAACAGTTTCCTACAACTGATCGACGACAGGTGCCATTTAGCATTCATTCTAAAAATATAAACGTCACATCTTGATTAAAAAAAAAGATCAACATGTATAATGAATCTCTTCTAGAAGTTATGTTAGTTCAAGTTAGGAGCTGTGAATTAATTAAGAATTAGAACAGTAATTATTAAAATTTTAATTCTCTGTCATTATTTTTAGGTATTTTAATTATAAAAATGCAGATTGTAAGACGAGGCTAATAAATAATTACTAAAGAGAATCCTTACGTATTCTGAAGGATACGTTCTGTATAATCTGACAATTGTTGTCCTGGCCAGCTGAGAAACAGAAGATCAAAGAGAAGAGAAATGGTGACTGAGACGTACCTCAAGACCATAGCAAAGTCTTGTTCTAAATTGATGGCAGCCTAATGCGAAAGAAGCTTGCAATGAATAAATTAAAAGCAAATACCTTTGGTATGAAAATCTGACCTGAAACTGTGTGAAGCTCACGCAGATCATGTTGAGGCCTAACTGAACCAAGTAGGACTTCGTGTTGGCGCCTTCAAGCATTTTACCGAACCTTCCTCAGAACCGATATAGAAGAGCAGGATTTATCAGGTTCGAGGATTGAATAAAAGTAATTAAATGGCAAATTGATTCATGCTACTGACTCGATTATGTGCTTGTGTAAAATAACGCACTCCCTCGCGTTCCTGTACCATCTGTCTTCATATTTACCAGGATACAGTTCGACTTCCAAGCCGTCCCCTTCCACGAAATTCTCCAGCTTCACTCTAAACAATTATCAATTTACATGAGTAATTGTAGAATTTTTATTAATGAACTTCACCTCAAGATCTCACAAAGGCCGCACTCGTGCATTACATAAACTGCAATCATTGCATCAATGCCGATGACCACTGTTGTAAAAACTATCGTTCCACAGTAGGAATGTACCAGAAGGACGTAATAGTATTTGTCTACGTCGACGAAGTGCTCGACTCTGAAAGCCAGAGGCCTGTCGGTCATGTTGAACAGACCTAAACCGTCGGCTATGTTCATCATCAGAGGCAGTGCCGAGAACGGCGTCACCAGGCCCAATAAAATGACTAATTAAATCAATTATTTATTAATAATCGAATGATTTGAAGTCGAGATGACTCAGTACCTGTGAGGCCTACAGTCAGAGTCTTCCCAATGGCGTACTGTGCACAGAGCACTTCGTATTCTGTCTCCACTTTCTTATAAATATGCCAATCGTCTCGCATTACGTCCAACATTCTCTTCATCTAAGCATCGCATGGGATTGTTAATAATAATTGCAAAATGGGGAATTTGAAGAACGTACCTGGTTGTAATTGAAAAAGAAATTGATATACTTAGAGCTACACATTAGACTGATGGTGACCGGAGCGAAGCTCTCCAGGACTGCTTCAGAATCACCGTCGACCGCCGCTGCTATCATCCCACCAATCTATAAATTTTTTATTATTTAATATCATAATTTAAGCTACAGGGGAATTAGAATACCTGGAGGAACGCTTGAGCACCGGCGGTTAGTAGGAAAACGATTCCAAAAATAATTTTTGGTACAATTGTTTGATAAGGCCACGTGCCAGTAGCTGATAACAGGTACTTGTTCACTCGCAGGTATTCGTATTGAGTGCTGTCCATTCTGGTAGTTCCTTAGAAACTGAGAATAGCTTCGCCTACAGTCAGCTTTAATTACTCTCATTAGGTATTCCGTTTGGACGTAAGGACAGACGGTTTCATTATATAAAATTAACTCAATCGATAATCTTATGTAGAGATAATTTCGCTTAATTGCAGGGCTGGAAGGGAATCAAAGGTATTCTTTAAACGATGGTAGTTTTACTGCAAAAGCACCAGTTTCTGCATGTCTTTGCTGGAGCTAATCAGAAATCCTGAGGAGGTAAATGAAGTGAAGCATTTATTTTTGTAGTATTGAAAATACTTAGATTTATTAGGTTTACGTATAATTCCTTACAATATGGTTTACATATCTATTAAATTAAGACAGTTAACAATGCTAAAAAAGAATCGTTCTAAATAATCAGTTTCCTGTGGTCAGATTTTTGTTGTATCGAAAATCTTCAAGTTTGAGCAACTGAATTAATTTTCATCAGTTATGAAACACGATTCTAACTTTGTACAATCAGAACTGTGAGGTAAATGAAATTCTCAGACAGAAAACTCGGATGTTATATTGACTCTTCAGATTGAATCTATCTACTCACGATATTCACAAGATACAGACAATTTCTATTACACCTGACAAGAACATGGGACATCGTTTAACAACTTTCTGTTGAATTTCAGGTAACAGAGACGAACACCTGAATTGGAGCAAGTTCGAAATTCCAGTTTAACAAGAAAATTTCACTCAAATTTCTTTGGATACGTTCCTTAGCTTCCAAAGTAGAAACACATGAAACGTTGTTTATATTTACACTAAACGCGTGGCATTGTTCAAACACATCGAGTACATTTATACGTATAGTACAAGTACGTTTATATTATAAATCCATCAATCAATTTCTCGCCGAGAGGAACGTAGGATAAAAAATACATTCCCGGATTGCTGCCTCTTGACTGGTTAAAAATTGATTTTAAATCCTTAGGCGATGCTGCAGCCGTTGTTCTGATGACGAGCCTTGCCACTTTTGGTCATAGTGAATCCAGGGCAGCAGTGATCCTGCTGTGTCAATGATTGCGAGTTTGATTCACTTTGAAACGTTTGACAATCTTTAGTCTTCTCTGGTTGACCGGGTTTCTCCGGGTCCTTCTCGCGTTTCCCATTGTCAGGCTCGGTTACTGAAGCTCCTCCTCGGTCGTCGTAAGAACCGTCTGATGATGAGCTTGAATTTGCGCTGGCACTTACGCTCACTTCCGGCTTTAAATGTATTCCTACTGATCTGTTCTCTGCTCGAGGTGATATACTGTCTCGGTGCTGCCGGAAGTGCTCCTCAGTGTCGCTGAGAAGTGAACTGAACATCTCCGAATTCCTGGTCATCACTGCGCCCATCGAATTCGACCTGGACTCTGTAATTATTTTTATTATTTATTATAAAATTTTGTACTATAAAATTCATTTTGTTTTTTTGTTTTGTTGGGTGAACCTTTCGTGTCGGTGTTCTTCGTGGGCGAATTGGCGACGGACCTCCTGGCGACGTCTTGAAACGTGATGGGCGAGTATATGCGTCTCTCCTCGGGTAGGAAAGAGGAATCCGGAGGAATCATTGAAACTACTTTAGATCCTCTTCTAGAGGAGGCGTCTAAACTGTTTTGATTATCGTAGAGAGTGGTGGTGGTTACGAACGTGGCAGACGTGCTGGCAGAGAGCCTTTTTTCGGTGTTCCTCGTGTGCCACTGTGGAGGCTGTTGGATCGTGATCCCCTTCGTCGAAAGCGACCTGTGCTCCCTTTTCTCCAGCCAGTAGGTTTTCATCGTACCTGAAGTTATAGAAAAATATAGAAGAAGTTATAGAAGAAGATAGAAAAAGAATGCAAGCTTCTGATTTAATATCAGAATTTTAATCAACAGCCAGATGAGAAAATTCTCAAGAGATTTTTGCAGTTTTAAATCAATGAATAATGAAGACTGATTATTAAAGGTAACTCGTATACCTTTACCCTTCACTTCGATCTCGCCTCGCTCTTTCACTTTGTAGGAGGGTGACAATAACTCTCGGGTTGACTGAGATATGTGTATCTGCATCGCTTGACTGGTCGCCTCCATACGCGAGGCAGTGTTCACCGAATCGCCGAACAGGCAATACCGTGGCATCTTCAGCCCGACTATGCCAGCCACCACAGCTCCGCTGTGCACTCCTACTCTTATCTGCAAATGCAAGCCTGGAACAGAAAGAAAGACAGAAGGAATATTAGAATTAGTATGCAAATTAAGTTTATGGGATTTAATTTATGAAGGATTTACCTGTTGAACGATCTTTCAGATCTGTTATCGCCTCGACCATGTCGAGTGCCATATCGCACACACGATCCGCGTGATCGTTCTCCTTCACTGGCGCCCCAGACACGACCATGTAAGCATCTCCTATCGTCTCCACCTAACAATTAAAAAAAATTCAATAACAAAATCTTTAGGAGATTTATTAGCTGCATTAATCAACCCCTTGACATACAAATTAAACAGAATTTCATGAAAAATAGTAAGTAAATAATATTAATTAAGTTCTTGACCTCTCAGTGTCATTATATGTCATGGGGTGAATGTGCGACAACGACGTACGTTGTTAAATATTTTTTGTTTCGTTTGGTTTGTCTGTGATGTTTCGCGGACGAATAAATTGTTACTCTTACTACCTAAGAATACCTTATACACCCGGTTCCTTTCGGTTAACGTGTCGAACAGGGAGTACATCGCGTTTAGCATAGACACTACTTCCATCGGCGTGATCCGGCTGCAGATCTCTGTGAACGTGACCACGTCCGAGAACAAAATTGAAACGCTGTCAAACATCTGAAATAGTCATCAATTCATGGTTCGTCTCAATTAATATTGCTTAATTAAATTTGAGAAAAAAAGACACAAGAATAGTGAATAATTATGTGAATGTAATTAAAACTTTGATTGCCTCGCAGGTGTCTATCGGATTCTCCCCGTTCCTTAAACGATCCGCGACCTGTTTCGGTATCATCTGGTATAACAGCTCGTCCGTACGTTTCATCTCTTCGTCAAGCTTCCTCATGGACTCTTCTAGTTTTTTGCTCTTCAGCTGCTCCTGGTCCAGGGCCAGCTTCAGCTCCACCGACTGCTGCGTACCGGCCAGCATCAGGTCTCTACGTTTCAAATCAGATTTAATGATATTGTTTTTATTTGTAATGAGATGATGAAGAGATATTTTCATTTTTAGGTGAATGACGAACCTGCTGAAGTCGTGCATGGATAGGTCGTTTATGTAAAGTCCAGTTGCTATCAAGGCATTTAAATCAGGCATGACAGGAGTGCCGAGGTACATCATCATCTTCCAATTATCCATGTAGATCATCTGACCTAAAAATTGTGTACCTAAATTATTCTACTGTAGATATTTTCTTTTTTAGAAATCATACATCACTACAATATTTTCAATCTGCAAGCTTCTACTTAAATTTGAAGCCTTGGATTTTTGTAAGTTAATTAATACAGAATTATTCTATTTATAATAATAATTCCAATTTGGAATTACCTTTTAATCTGAGAGTCCGATCGTCGACGGAGTCGAGTTCGTCGCTTAGCAAAATCTCGTTCCTCTGTCTATCTGACGGTCTCTCGGTGAGAATCGGTTCCACGGTGACCAGTTCGAAAATATTATTCGTTCTGTTCAAAATCTGTAATAAAAAATCGATGAAACAATTGTTAAGAACGAATATTATTAAAATTACTCACAGAATGGAACTTGAAGGCAATGAGTGGTCTGACGAGATCAAAGAAATGAGTTATCTTCTTTCCGACGAGGTCTGGCAAAATTACCATCAAAGAGTTGCCAATGCTCCTCACGATCATGTCAGATCTAAAAATAAAAATCGTTCCATATTTTCAATCATTCATAAAAATCAATTTAACACATTTAAGGATGTATTGGCTATACAGTCAATCCCAAAAC